CGAAATTTTTGCAAATTTGCTTCATTTCACGACAGAAGATACGACACAGAAGTAACCATTAAGATTAGTTAATGTTTGTGTATTTGTCGATACATATCTTGTATGTGTTTTTTTGTTATTACATGTTAATAATTTTTTCAGTGATTTGAATTTTCTTTAAGGGTAATAAATCTTGCGTGATTAAATTCCGCGAAGAAGATCTTTATTCGCAGGCCTTTTATTTCTCGAGTTTTTTACATTCGCTAAAAAAGCGAAATTAAGTACCCGCAAAATAAAGTACGAATGAGGTATTTTTGTTTTGGTTTACGTAAAGCAATCAACAAGCGTAATTATTTACTAACAATGAAAAATGGGTGTTTAATTTTTGTTGTGTTATTTTTTTTTGTGGTGGGTGGTGGGAGGTGGATGAAGGAGTAATGTAAACTGTTAAAACTAAATCCCGTCCATTGTAGACTATACAGGGGGAGGGGTACTCGGGTCAATTTTTGTTGGGTATGTTCTGTTGGCCTCTTAGAACCCCTACCCCATTATAGTCTATTCTGTGGCTTATTGTAGACCCCATCATAGTCTTTTTTGGGTGACGTAGCACTCATTTTTAAATCCCTACTTACCAGAATTTTTTTACCTCTAAAATCTTGAAAATATGTGACCCATTCCATTGAAAAGGCGACCCCATTATAGTCAATACAGTCTTGAAAATGCGACTCCATGCAGCGGCTCATCCCCATCAGCCTAATACTAGGAAGTATCCCCTCCCCAGAGACTAAGCTATTGACTGTGTATGCTTTAATACCTACCATGGGAAACTTGTTGGGTGTTACAGACTTGTTTGTCATAAAGGAAGTGTGCGGGTAGAAATGCTCTCCTAAAGGCGCTGATAGGGGAATCCCCTAATAATGAACTCCTGCCTGTGCCTCCTTAATGAACATTGAACGGTCACTTGATGGAGAACTGATTAATCCTCTGACACTTTTGGGAAATGGCGAATTCACTTCTCTTTGTCCTGACACGTGCTTATCTAAGAGAATGGTCCTGCATGTAGCGATACATATTTATTTTTGAAATCGGTGTGGCTCACTTGTGGTGAAGTTTTTTATTTCCAGATTGAAGTAGTACATACACTTCAGAGCAAGATATCTGGCCTATGAAAGTCTAGCTCATGGCTTCCCTGTCGGATTGAAGAAGCTATACCAATGGGAAGTTGGTTAATGCCCTTTAAAGTACAGTACCCCAACCGGAAATTTTTGGTTATCTCCATCTCATCTTGAAATTCAAGCAAGAGAGAGTTGGACCCAAAGGATTGGCTTACTTTCAAAAGAAGGAAATTTATAGAGGAAGGTAACAGTTCGCTTTTAGTGTCTTCATATTTCCTTTTATTTTTTAATAACGAATCTTGCAATTTGATTGGTTCCTTACCCAGTCAGTATTTTCCTATCTCTGCCCACGGGCCACGGTAACGCTTTCGTGAGTCGCCAAGTACATCCCAACTTTCGTTGCCATTTTTCATAAACGTATCTCGTTTTTCCGGCTGGGCAGTATTTTTAAGCAAACACGTCGGTCACTAACTCAAGCCGATGAATAACTTATGAATCCTCTCTTTTCTCTCACTCAAATCACTTTGGTTGACAGAAAAATATTGGTTTCAGAACGAATTTGTATAAACAATAGTGTCATTACGTTGGTTGACAAGCGGCCTAAAACCCGTCTGCAATTAATTTTAATCGTTCACAAAAAGTACCTAGAAAGTTAAAACGTGAGGTATTTGGTTACAGTTAAACTGAACGATGGAACTTTCATTCATTTAATACCTGAATTTTCTCAAGGAATTTGTTCGCAGTGAAAGAGCGAGCGAAGTTTTAATTTAAGTTCTACAACAAATATACGCTCTCGGTGAGTCTTTTCAAGTCCGTTCTATTTGAACATTTGTACCGTAAATTGCACAACAGAAACTGAAGGAATTTTTTGAGAAAAGACCGCATTAAATCCCCTTGTGTCTCGTTGGATTGTGCCATTCGAATTTAGTTTTTGTGAAGGAAAGACCAGATTTACACACGCCATTGCAGCAAACAAACGAGCAAACTCACACAACTTCAAAATAAAAAAAATTTAATTTACTCACAATTGCTTTCCTCGCCATTTACTTAATAAACAGAGGTAAATCTTCGTACATGAATGAATCGTCGATGAGAGTGAATAATACTTTCCGTTAGAACATTGACTGTTTTTGAAGAAAATATTGTCGTGAAAGTCCTTGCCAAACTAATTCTGTTGTGTTTCAAATGTTCTTACGCTTTTTTTTACTTACGCGCTCTCTAATTGCCAGGTGTCAGATTGTGACAGATACTTGTAAAAATAATGTTTCAAAGTTTGTTTGGAAGCCTTTTAAATTATCGTTACGGTAATGAAAATGTTTCGCTAAGGCATCTCTCTTGAATTTGCATCATCTCTATTTTAACTACCATTTACTCGCTCAAAAACGGTTCAGTTTATGGAAGATCTTGCTCGGGGTTCTTTCGGAAAGAATTTCGTTAAGTTTTAAATATGTTATTTACACCATAAAAACTGTGACCTCGGTCACAGTTTTTCACCATACGGACCTCCCAGCCGGCAAATAACATATATAGATTTGTCATTTTATTATTCCAATATCAAGCCGTTTAACCCTCTTAGCGAATGCGGCCGCACTGAAAGATCTAACGTTAACTTTTTTTCCTGGCCAAGAATCTTTAAGCTCATCCGAATTTTTGTTGGTCATTAAGAACATTCTCATGGTTTCGTTTGTGTTGTTTTCGTCTTTCGCGCAGTTCTTATGCGATCGACACTATACTCAGATGAGGCCATAGTATGTATTTCGAAAACTCAAAGCCAAAATGCCATAAAATGAAATAATATTGGGATGGCAGCTCCCTTACTCAATTGTTTAACTTATCTAGAGGGGCGATTTTGCTCACCATTCGAATTTTCCGTCGCCCCAAACTACTACGCACCTCGTAAAGTATCTGCGCTTATTATAGAATCGTCAGATAAGGTGTATGTGTCCACAGTCCACCTGAAAAATGTTTCTCTTTCTTTTCGAAGGTGCAGCACCCCTTTTACAAAGGTCTTTCAAATTCCACGTCTTTTTATCGAAGATAATTTACGACGGGGCACGCAGAACAATTGTTATCGCACTGGCTACTTTCATTGGATTTAAAGACTGAATTTGTTTGCATGTGCTCTATAACGAGTCTTTACGTTTCAAGAGAAGTCTTTAACATAAGAATTCCTTTCAAATCGTTCTTCTTTGACCAAAAAAAAAAGTTCATCCTTTTCAACTGAATCTATTTCTCACGCAGTCTGTTTTTTTCCGATAACGAAAAAATTGGTAAAGAAAAATTTGCACAGCCCAGGTTGCAATTAAACTTTTGATTTGAATATTTAATTTCTTATCGTGTGCTCAACCATTGCGCCAAATGATCAGACCTACGAAGTGGGTGGCAAGTCAAAATCAGGAAGTATATACACGGACTCTGAAAAAGCAAAACTAGTAGTAAAGTTGGTCTGCTTCTTTATGTTCAACTCTGATAAGTATGTTATTTTAAGTTGAACTAGGTTGTTTTCAAATGTGTTCACCTTTCACCTAGTTTTTGTGTAGTTGATAGGAAGTTCACAATTTTTTGGTGTAGAGCACTGCGCCGGTATCGTAGAGGTCATGGGTTCAAATCCCAAACAGGCCTGAATTTTTTTTTCCAGGCCTTATTTTCACTACTGCTTAAGTAGTGTTCATTACTGCGAAGATCGCTTTCATATTCACGTCTTTATCCGCAGTTCACAAATATGATTTTCATATATTCACAGTCATTTATTCATTACTTCACGGGTTTAGATCGAACCAAGATAATGATCAACTCCTGGTTGGCTCGTTAGCTCAGTTGGTAGAACACTGCACCAGTATCGCAGAGGTCATGGGTTCAAATCCTGTACAAGCCTGAAATTTTTTCAGGCCTTATTTTCACTACTGCTCAAGTAGTGTTTATTACTGCGAAGATCGCTTTCATATTCACGTAGATTCAGCTATGTAGGAATTTTTTTAATATCTTGAATTTTTTATTTCCAATAAAGCGAAAATGGTTACTTCAAGAGGCCAAGGAGACCAGGACATTTAATAATCTGGTGAGCATATCTGTTGTGGTGTAGTTGAACTCATATGTAGCCCTTCTCTAATGAAATTATAGAAAATTAGTTATCCGTTTATTTCTCTATATTTCGCAGGTACACGGTATCTCTGCTCAAGAAACAATCAAACTATCAACCTAGGGTCGAAATATCTCTTCGTCCTTGTGGTGCACTCACGTAACGTTCAGTACGGATGGGCATGTTCCTGAAGACTGAAACATTTTTCTAAGTCTTGTGGCGGGAAACGTTTGTATGGCATATTTGAACTCTCTCTATCTTACTTTATAGTTGTCTTGAGAAATGACCATCTCTAGGAAGAGACCGAAAACAATGTCAACCTTGGAAGGGACGAAAAACATTGGGGGTCGAAAAGGAAGAGGAAGAGACCGAAAACAATGTCAACCTTGGAAGGGACGAAAAACATTGGGGGTCGAAGAGGAAGAGGAAGAGGAAGAGACCGAAAAAAATGTCAACTTTGGAAGGGACGAAAAAAATTGAAGGTCGATCCGCCACCATCCCCCACCACACCCGCCTCTTACGGACAGTTTTTTTTTTGTAGTTTTTATACAAGTTTAACATTGTGGTACGACATATCTTAGTAGGCATGCGTCCAACATAACGCATGTGTACTAAAAGATGCATCAAACCACAAGGATGAACTTGTGTCAAATTACAAAATAACTGTCTATAAGAGGTGGGTGTGGTGGGGGACGGTGGCGGATCGACCCCCGATTTTTCGTTCCTTCCTAGGTAGACATTTCCTTGGACTCCAACTTGAGGTGTTCATTTCATCGGTAAAGTCACTTGGAAGTGAAGAAAAAAACTATAGCAAGTAGAGACTTTGGAGAAGGCAGAAGTCTTCTTTAATATAGCTTTACTCTGCAACATACAACTAACTCACAATAGATCAATAAAAATTTTCAAATTGAAACCACTTTAAATCTACTGTAGTTTGATAGTTTGGAATGTTAACAAACTTCCCCTTCCTTTCCACGCCGGTACTTTCTTGGACCTTTCGTTTTCTCCTTCCCTTCTCTTAGAATCTGAAGGAAACTGTACAACACACACAAAATAAATCAGTTATCAGTCACTGCCAAACCAGTTAAAGTGTACTGTTTAAGAGTAATGAAAAACACGATATATATTTAAAAAAGAAACTGGAAGAGCTAAAGAAAAAACAACGTTTTCTGTTCTGAACGTTAAACAATAACACATCAATTATACTCACCATTCTCTTCTCCCCTGAGCGCCCTTTTAAACTTGAGGTCTTTGCGTTATCGTCTTAAAATAGAAAAATAAGAACAATTATTTTACAACAGCGGCAACCATAGAAAAACAAATCAACATCTACTACAATTATACATCCTTCACCTGCACCATAAAATATAATCGGCAGAGTAACAGCTAAGCAGGAACCCCGACGGCAAATTATGAATGCATCTCCTTAGGAGTCGCCGACACCTTCACTTAAAAGCTGAAAAGGAGGTCGGATGTTATTCAAGACGGTAAAGACTGCAAGCCACCCCAAATTTTAAGAAAAAAGCAAAGTCACTTTGAAAGCAAATTTTTCACAATACGGAAAACTGGGAAAACGGAAATCTGTATGTGGTAAATGTAGACAATGGTCCGCCCTTGTTCGTAAGGTTGAAGTAAATTGTAACCACAAACATTAATTTTGGAAAAAAGGGAAGGTAAAGATGATACCTCTTAGTCTGTATTAAATAGAATTTCAATCAAATCCCAATCACAGTAAACAAAACCATACTCGGCCCTCCTCATTTTCTTTAGACGCCTGCTCAAGAGCTAAAGTGATCTTGAGCCCATTTCCTTTCCCTACGCTCCTTCCAAAATCTGAAAAAAATCGGAGATAGAAGGACGTCAAAACCTTTAAACTCACAACATTCATCAACCGAATAAACACGGAACAATAAAACACCATGGAAAAGAGCTAACACACAAATGGGTTGACCTCGAAGTAACACATTACATGCAACAACATGAAATTGTAACTATCACAAAAAAACAAATCACAAAACAAACAACCAAAAACATTTATATGTAACAAAAAAACATAACATCAATGAACGCGTAACATGATTATGTTTAATCACATTTCTAAACTCCTCGCAACTCGTCAAAAATAAATTCTCAGTCTTAGAAGATGTGACGGTACCACAAACAGAAATTTTATAGCTATCATATTTAAATCAACGACACCAAAATAAATGTCTCTTAAAATATCCCTGACAGTACTTTTCGCGCGCGCGGACTGGCTAGATCGGAGATGATTAGCAAAGCACTATTCGTCTCTGCGTTGACAAGATGACAAGAACTGCCTTTCATTCGCTCAGGTTTCAGCAGAGGACATTTAAAGACGAATCCTCACCAGAGAACAAAAAAATGGCAACAACGTTTGATTTACAGTGACATCAACCAAAAGTGACCTCAATCAAACGAGCTGACGGTGTCGAATTTATCATGCATTGCGTTAAATACTCTTGGAGTACTTTTTCAAGCATTGCTTACCTATTGATGAATGATAAGGAGATCAGCATGCGACTTTCAATTCACCCTTACACAAATTACAATGAGGTACAGTTAGTCTCTTCAAGCAATCCCCTATTTACCTGAAAGACACCAGCACACACGAGTTTCTTACGATCTGTGCCCCTCAATGTTTCAACGCACTATACTATAGCAGGGCGAGGAAGTATTGTAAGTCTCAAAGCTCAAATTCACTGCACTTGGAAATCGAAATGAAATAGCGGCACTGATTCCCAAACTACTGCTCCGAGCTTATTTCAATTCACGGATAATGTCCATAACTTTAGTGCATAGCGTCGCCCTAGTACCTCCTAGCGTCACCTAGCGGGTACATTTGTGGATCCATGGTCCGAACGCCCAGCCACTGAGACAACAGACCAGTCAATCAGTCAGTCATTAAATCAGTCAGTAAGCCAGTCACACAGTGAGCCAGTCAGTCAGTCAGCCAGTTAGTTTTAAAGTGTTTCTGCCATTTAACCAATCAGTTTACAGCGTACCTCAGCAAAACAGTTTGTTTGTCTGTTGACCGAGCAGAAAGTCTGACACTACGTCAAAACACCTCAGTAAGTCAGTCGGAGCAACTCAGACAAACTGTCAGTTTAACCATCTGAGGAAATACAATACAGTCACTAGATCAAACAGACAGTCAGTCAATCAGTCAGGACGGCGCTCAAAAGTGCTTTTAGTCACTAATTTAGTCATTTTATTCACCAACTGTTCTGTAGGTCTGTCTCTAAATCCAAGAGGCTGATAGATGAACAGCTGGTAATTTAAGCTGTTAGCAAGTCAGTCATGCAGAGTGAGAGCCAGTTAAATAGCCAGTAAAATCAATACCACCTTTCAATATAATAGCTGAAAAAATTGAACGTGTCTGTGAGTTTCACGTTCCATCTGACAGTCATAAATTACATGGGAGAAATACAGTGTTCCCGTAAAACTGTCCATCAATTTTTCTGTCAGATGTCAGAGCACAGACTATGATATTCCACATATTCCCTATTTTATATTCTCTCTCTCTTTCCTTTGCCTTAATTATTTTCTCTTCTTTCATCCACGAGGATCACCTTTACCTCAAACCTAAGAAGAAAAGGTCATAAGAATTGTCCACCAAAAACCTATTTATAGATAAACAATTAAGCACAGCTGATTTGCTGATTGTTTCAATAAGCTTTAGAATATCTTTACGATTGTATCTAATCATTCAACAACTAATGCATGTTTCCTGAGAGGGACAAGCTTAGGACCATCTCTCAAGTGTTGGGTTTCAGCATTTAAAAGTCATACTCAGTTTATAGTTGAGTAAATAAGGTATTTTCATTTGGTGACAACAGTAGGCCGACTCAAGAAATCTTAGTTGCCTTAAGCCTTTCTACCCTTGTACCTATTTTGTCTGTAATTATTACCAGTAATCTAATTGCAAAAGATGTGTAAAATAAAACACGATGCTATTAAACTGCAGTTCATGTATATGATATTCATCTATTCACAGTTGTTCAAAAGAAAAACACTGTGAGAGAAACAGTAGTCTGGAGGTCAGGTGCCCAGAACTCTGGGTCTATAGGTCCACTGTGTCATTGTAAAGACACTCTACTCTCACATTGCCTTTAGGACGTTTAAAAAGTGTACTGGGAAAATGTCAAGGAAAGCTCTGACAGAGTGCTAAGGCAGCCTGAGCTCTTGCAGAATGGGCAATCTGACTTATAAGCTGACTTAGCCCTACTTTACCCACTTGAAATCTTGCGCCACCTTATAAACATACATTTTCTGCATGAAAGGTTTTTCATATAGTTGAAGTTGCACCTCTGATATTGTTATTAAGTAAACATTCTCTTCAGAAAATTTTAAACCTTGAAAGTGAATATTACAAATATTTTGCTACCCATATATTGAACAGCAGGTTGTACAATCCCCACCAAAACTCAGTGTACCTTCATTTTCAGAAGTTTGTCAATTTTCAGAAAAATATGTTAATCGAAAAAAAAAAATTGAGATTTCCATTTGAACTTAAATTTTGATTTAATCACTGGTAATCAAAGGTACATACCTTAATAGCCCAATAGCCATTGTTACTCTGTTAAGTCTCACCTGATAATATTTCATAGCTAGAATGCCAGTTGCTAGCCTCAAGAAAAGATTTCTACTATGTCCAGAGAAAGCTGAATTTGAGAATGATCTCCATTCCTGTTCTGAAGAAAAAAAATGAACAGGAAATAAATATGAATAGGTATAACAAAATGGCTAAAATAAAAAGACTTAGGTGCAACCTCATGAAATTAACTCCTCAAGGAATGATGAATGGCAAGGCAAATGTTTTTAAGGATGAAAACCAACTCTCTCACACTCTTCAAAAATGTCTGTAGTTCACAATTCACTCAATTGTGTCTGTGAAAAATGGAAAATTCTTTGGTGTTTATTCCTCTCCCTAGGGTAATTGGACTATTATTCAAACCACAGATTTAAAGTATTCACTCCCAAGAAATGTGTGTGACTCTAAAATTTTACTGGTCACCACCACAATGATAAAGCTGGATACCATGACAAACTTGTTACCTTCACAAGTCATGGGCAACAGAGGTAAATTCACTCTGCACAAAAATGGACTTATATTTTTGAAAGAGGGAAATTCTAGTATTTTATCAACTGTCACCATCCATTCATTTCAGGAAATAGAAGGTATTGTTTAAAATTGAGCCATGGTATTGACATCTTATGACTTATATAGTTAAATAGACCTTCATAAAAAATGGCAGCTCAAAATAGACACCAACAAATACAACTGCAAGAAAAATTGATACATAGTTCCACTCAACCAATGCTTAGTGTTTTTGCTGAGAAATGAAATCTAAAACTTTGTCATGCCTCTAAGGTCATGCCTCTAATGAGAAAACTGTTGTTGAAAAAAAACAAATGTCAGACTGTCTTTCTTTCAATAGCAAAAGTACTGCTGAAATAAAATTTGCTGAATGTACAGAATATATAAGGACTAATTGTACCTTGCTGCTGTGCAGAATCTTTTTTTTTGTAATATAATTTTAAATTCTGTTTGTTATTTGGAGAAGGACCTATCCAAACCTGGCTGCAGAGTGAAGTTAGTAGGTTCTAAGTTCCATACCTGATGCATGTGGATTCTCTAGCTATTCTTGGCTATGAGCATTTTAGTATTTGGTAATTATAACACCATTGTATGATCTGATGAGCATTTCAGAGCATTTGGTCAAGATGGTTTGAATTTACTGAGTTTCAAGTAAAATCACTGAAATAATTCATTGAGGTTTGATAGAACAAGAAAATGAGTGTGTGGCTATGAGAGCGTGTTAGGAACAGCATATTATAACGATAGGGAGTTTGCAGCATCCAGAACCTAAATTAGGACTACTTTCAGTAGAATCTGCTGCCTACTGATGGAGAAAGTCCTCTTTTCATTCCTGATGTAAAACTGGAGAAAGTAAATGACATCATGAGTTGTCTAATTTGCATTGACCCAGATATTTCAAAATGGAAAAATAGTTTTCAAGCTTTCATGGAAGTCTCTACAACAACCCCTTAAATTTCAAGAGATGAATATTTTTATCATAATAGCACTTCTCAAAAGCCATTTAGTATTCAGACTGCAGACCACAGTTCAGTCTGGATATTAAGTAATGATCATTATGTCAGACTTATGTTATGAACTTGAATCAAATTATTGCTAGATACTTACTTAAGAGTACCCAAAATATCTCAGCCAGTTGTAGAACTTAAAAACTCGGTAATACAATATAAAAGTAGGCAGTAACTAGCAGTAGCAACAAGGCGCCATATTGCTTAGGAGAAACTGAAGCTTACCTCGACTCTGTATGCGCAGCACGTGGGCTGTGTGTGTGAACGACAATCGTTATTTCCTCTATTTCTGTATTTTGCAGCCATCGAATATATTTTTCTACGGTTCTGCTGTAACCAAACCGGGACACAATTTCTAATTCTTCCAAATTCCTCCAATCTTTCGCCGCCATGTTGAAATTTGTAAGTAGTTCTCAGTTTCTCTCTTTCATCATGAAAGGGGGACGAGATGGACGAGGCGAGGACCGTGAATAAAATTCGTTTCATGTGACGTCACCAGTATAACTCAAATCCTCTTGCGAATCTCTTTTAACTGCTACCTAAAAAGTATTTGCAACAGGGTTTCTTTGTCAACACACACCTTCAGTCACCTAGAAAAACCTAGTACTTTCACGATTCTATTTAGTGCCTGGGGCGTCTATTTACTCATGGTACCTCCAAGGGCCATTACTTAGGCCTCTGATACCTCCTAATGAGGACGCTTATTCTGAACAGGCCGCTTATTAGGGACAGGGGGCTTATTTCATTTTTTGAAAAACAGCAGAATGTGCTATAAACGCTTTGATGTTTATTCAAAAAGGAAAAATATCAGAAACTATGAGAGTAACAAATGTACAGATAATAATGATAGGGAATGTACTCTAGCGTCGCTATCATTAAAACAGAATAGGGGCGCTTATCGTAAGGAGAGTGCTTTTGCAATAGGGTGCTTACGTACAAATACAAGTTCGAGGGGGCGCTTATTAGAGCGAGGGCGCTAAACTGAATCATTACGGTAACTTCTGGACTCCACAAATTTTTAGTCAGTAAGGAGCATTTCGAAAAGGATCAGATATTATTCGCAGAGAAAACAGAAAAACATTTCGTTCTTCTTCTCCTGAATTGTAACGTTTCCTTTTCCTTTTTCCTCCTTTTAAACTCAAACTTATCATTTGGACGTAGAAGCAACCAGACAATGATATGACAAGTGTTTCGCACCTGAAAATTATTACTTTCTCGTGTGTCGGAAAATAGCTTGCAAACTTGCGCTGAATAACAAAGGATTAATGAAAGTTCTGTATTATACCGAGTTCCCAGTGGAACGATTGAATACATTAAACTTTCTGAGGTTGAAATGGTGGTAGAGTTGCCGCTGGTCAAAGATACTTAAACTGAACTGGTGCAAATTTGGACGATTACAAATTGCTGGTTCACGATGTGTCTTGGAGATTATGGTTGATTCATTTTCAACGTTCTTAATGATCTTCATTTACTTTGATCTAAGTCTATGCGGCCCTGGGAAAGAAAATAGTAAGTATAATAGCGGAAAGACGTGTATTAGATGGTAATCTAACAAGGAGCGATTCACGATTCAAAAGTCATGGTCGAAGCAGATGCAATCTGGAATTTATAGCTAAAATTGTTAATCGTAGCACTTGCTCTAGCAGCATACAAATACTTTTTGGTCAAGATAGCGTAAATGTGATCTTGAGTTAGATGTATTTATTGTTTAATAACGTTTTATGAAAGTGGCATTTAAGTCTGTTCAACTGCTTTAGGCCGCTTAACAAGGCTCGTCTGTCAGCTTAGTTTAGTTGCTAGGTGACGATGTAGGTCGCAGTTTGGGGCACTGGGTCGAGTCCGAAATTGAACGATTTGCTCTTGTACTGACAAAAGTTGAATGTCTGCTCGTATTATGTTAGAAGACTCAGAAATATTTAGAAACCTGAAAATAATTGGCAAAACTTCGTTGAACCAAAGAAGCCTCTGCTTGGAGTTTCATTCTAGTAAAGGGAAGAGTACCAATACTCAATTGCCTCGGTTAATATCCCCTCGGGGAAGGCGTGGTTTCCGTCAACATGATGAACAATAATGGAGTTGGACTCCACATTGGAAGGTCTGAATTCAAACCCCCGTATCATTGTGTTGTATTCCTGGCTAAAACACCTCTATTTTCACGGTGTCAAATCCACCAGGGATTTTGAAAAGGAACTTGTGATATGTCAGGGAAAGCGCTGTCGCAGTGCTAGGTAGGATGGATTGGGATATCAACCAAGAAGAAAGACAAAATTACCCATGTCCTCATGCTACAAAGCTATGCGAGTTAGTCTCGCACAGTTTCGTGTCCAGCCTCATGGGGGTTCTTTTTCAGCACCTTTGAAGCGTACCTTATTTTCAAAGGCCAAAATGAGTTGATCAAGAGAATAGAATATTCTCTTGATTTGATATCATTCTTACTAGTTTTTCAAAATTTTTCAACAGATCACGACGAATTTTCCAATTCAGTAAAGTACGACTGTTTCTCAAACAGTATCGCTATTTCGCTGACCAAGAATCGCCTCTCAAACTTCAATCACGCTTTATTTCACCTAAACAACGAATCTTGCACAGGACAGCAGATTAACACAACGCACATCAGATTACAAACTGAACTGAATGACTGTGGAACGCTCAAGCAAATTCTCGGAAATGGCTCAGTTATCTATACAAATCGAGTCTATGGATACATCAAGGGACAAAAAAATAAACCACGGAGTGCTTCTAAAACATATAAAGTTAAATGTGTGAAACCGCACGATGCATCAGAAAGGAATGTATCCACCTTAAAGTATGATAGCGTTGTGCCAAACTTCAGCACCCAAGACAGCACTCTTTTTCAAGTTGGACATCACCACAAAGCTTTTTCGTTACAACAAAGAAATGGTAAGTTCTGTCCACGACCTCTTCATTAATATTGCGGCAGTCATTCATATATTAATGAAGTAGGAGAAACTCTCAAAATCAAAGTATATCTCTTAAATGCACAAGTTAATACTAGGGAGAAATTTTCGATTGAGTGTTCAAAGTAATCCAAAATTCATTGTCTTACTGCACTCGGCCGTATTTTGTCTGGAAAAATCTCGACCCGATCTTCCAACCAGTTAGATACAAAACCAACAATGAACGAAAGTTTTTTTCTTTACCACCCGCGTTTTCTCGTGTTTCAGGCAACTTGCTTGCTTCATTTTGTCGGTTTGTCTCTTGTGTTCGTTTTAGCTCCATTGACATTTTGGTTTTTTTGCACCGATCAGCAATTGAAATCACATTGGTGTACCTTAGTCCATCTCGGTTTGCCTCACAACACCAAATGCTTGTTCCGCGGCGTGCGCGTAATAAAATTCATTGACGCTTTCATTGTCCGTTTGGTCCTATTCCTGTCCTTCATATATTGATTTTAGCTTTTCTTTTTCGTTTTTTTTTTCTTTAATTTCATTCAGTAAGCCACTCTGATCCTCCTTTACCGATAACATACAAGACTAAGGAGATTGTACAAAATGGCGACGAAGTCAAGCTGACGGCCGAGTTCTCATCAAACCATCATGGAAAGAAAAATGGCGTTCACTTTATTGGAGTGGCAGTGGAAAACTGCCACACTTCCTCTGACGACAACTCCAGCAGTACGGATGGCACCACGCTTATAGAGAATGGGTAAAACTGCCATGCACCTGAGGCCAACTGTTCGCGCTCTACATGCATTTTTTATTTCAGCCTGCCGAAGTCTCAGCTGAAACAATAAGGAATGGGCTGGGTATACAAAATTAATTACGCATAAGTGCCCCTAACATAAGAAATTTATAGCGCTTTTCTACGTGATGTTTTTTTCACTCAGTTATATTTGTATTTTTTGACTATTTATAGCTGTGTGTCAGCACCACACCTGTGTGGTTACTTCTTCCAGCAAAAGTCTTCGTCCCAGACAATCACATACAAATTATCTAGCTCCAAACACAAGAAAAAAGGAACGGTGTACATCCAGTGCAGATTCATCCTCTGTCAGCTAAATGACACAGAGCCTTTGTGCATTTTTGGCTGCAGACCAAACAGGAAATTAAAGGTGAACGAGACCCGCAGCGTTACGGTCAAAGTAGGACCTTTTTCCGCAAAAGAAGCCGCACTCGCAGTTGAAAGAAAAGGTTAGTTAACGACTTATATGTAATCATATGGCAGCTATGATTAACTACACTATTGCAGTGGTCTTGAAATATTTTACGCGACAACAAGACTGTGGAATAATTTCATCCAAAGACCTCTTTCAACTCGTCTTCCTTTCTAGTCCGTGCAGTGTTTTTACAGGTTTTTTAGTGCCTGTTTTTTAACTCGCACAAATGGCCAAGAAAGAATTTCCCTTATCAATACCAGTACAAAATCATTCAAGCAGACAAGTGATGAGAATGAAGAAAAATATCAATTAGGGCATTATGAGGTGATTCAATACCAAGCTCTTAGATCTAAAATCATGAGAATTGTATTGTAAACAGTAGGGAGAATTTCAAATGAGATCTTGTGAGTGAAATGGTTAAAAACTTTTGTTATCCTACTCGCTTGGCGCGCAGAGACGTGATTCAATTCTTAGTCAGGTTGAAAAATAAGTCAGTAGCCCTTCTCTCACCGAGTTTTCCAGAGTACGCAATACTTACCTCTTTCTAATATGTTTTATGCTCAAAGTATTGTGCATGCAATTAATGCTCTGAATGCTGCTACATTAAGTATACTTTTCGCTTTTTGTTTAACTTCCAGTTTCACTCATATTGCCAATTGTAATTGGGCTTCTTGTCCTCGTCGCTGTGGGTGTCTTCCTTTTCATTTGGAAGCGGCACCAAAGAAAGAGTCGCAAAGACAATTTAATATCCAACGAAGAAGGACTGACCGAAAGTGAGAGAGGATTCGATCTCAGCGATACCTCATTATTCGACGGAAATGAATCGCTGGAGGCTCCAAAGCAAGATGAACTGGATAGCTACGCAGCAATTGAAGGAAGAAAATTGTTTCTTAACATGGATTGGACCACTGTTTAGCTTTTTGTGGGAAACACCGTAGATTTGCTATTCTGAATAAAATAGGTTGGATCTCATTATGAATAATGGTGCAATGTACCATCACTTCAAAGAGAGGATGTACTACCGAACTTCAGTATAGCCGGACAAATAATTTAGTCATAGATTCAAAATTTAGTTAGGATTGAACACTGTAATTGTTAAGAGTATGAAGATAATTTCCCATAAATCGTAGACCGTTGGTAAATCTGACTGATTATGAAAACCGGCATAAAATCAAAAATGAAAACAAAAGAGGACTGTGCGACTGCGTTCGATCGATCTTTTGTTTTAGTCTCTTCATCCTGGGTCGTGTGTTGATGGGAATATTCATCGGGTCAGTCAGCTCAAAATGATACTATCAATTGTTGTGTGCGGTAAAAAATTACACACAAAAACTAACAAAACCATGTGATCAATAAATTTTTCAGGTTTAATTTTCTTATCAGTCACCTATACCAACAATAGTTCCATTGAAAACCACCTAAGGTGGGTGGGGGTTTCCACATAGCAATAAGAATGCCAATTATTTGTCGTACGTACGATTTACAGACTGTTATGCCATGTAACCTTTTTAATGATCATATGAAGTTTTTTTTTCACAATTTTTAACTGATTGCAATTTCGTAATAAAAATTAGTTCGCAAATCACCATATGAACAATGAGGATTGAAAATTATTTGTCTGTCTCTTCACAACAGTACTCACGCCGTGCGCGTGCAGTCATTTTCGCGCGAGTTTTGGTGAGAAAATACCCCAAGTGCTACACTGATAACGGACCATAAGAAGGATAAAAAAGAGCCTCTTTCCTTAATTTTGCAAAATTCCGCAAGGAGAAAGCCAAGAGGGAATAATTAATCAGCTTTAACCCAGATCTCTCTCTACTTTGACCAGACAATCGTAGAGGATCTGGGACTGAAACTAGATTAAAATGGCGGCCGATGATTACTTGAACGAAATGCGACGATACTTTGAAAATAATAACCGCACAAAGGACTTCGTTGCTCACACAGCCAAGGTTTGATAAAAGAAGACTTTTTTTATCTTTTATCTAGTGATATCTGGTATAGAGATCTTTAGAGATCTACTTTAACTCGAAATTCGATCTTTTGTAAGAAATTGACAACTATTAGTTCGATTTGTCATTTTGCACGACTTTACTTTAGGTTCATTCAGTTGCATGGAGCTCCGATGGTAGAAGACTCGCATCAGGATCTTTTGATAGAACTGTTAGCATTTTCGTCTTGGAAAAAGATCGATTGGTAAGCAGTAATACTGTAATGTGCCTCTTTATATTACTTTGTGTAATCATAACGTGATCAGTTTTCACGAAACAGACGCACTCACTCCATTGACTGAAAACGAACTTCTCACCTGGCTCTGACAATTTTTTTCCCGTTCAGGGATCTAATTTCTTCTTACACTACTACCCCTGGATCATACATTAAGGTCACAAGAAGAACTGAAATAATCACCGACTTAAGAAGCTCTCGATTGTTAAACAAATTCTCCTTGTCAGTATTTTAGGAAATGTATAGAGAACGGTACGGAGGATATGCAAACTGATGTTAGGGTGTAAGGGGTTAATGCATATTTACTGGTTTGACTTAATTAGTCATATTCTGTTTTAGACAAAAGAAACAACCTTCAAAGGTCATGGTGAGAGTGTTGATCAGCTCTGTTGGCACCCCAGCAATCCAGATCTCCTTGTTACAGCATCAGGAGACAAAACTATCCGAGTATGGGATGCTAGAGGTAAATAACCTATAACACCTCTGTTTCTGGGTTTTTGTCTAGTAATCTTCTAAATCATACCAATGGTCAGATCAAAGCATGCTAGAAAACAGCAGATGCAAGGGTGCACTCCATGTAACATAACTTCAACTCCAAATATACCACAAAAATTTTTAGAAATTTTAATCCTCACAAAGTACTTGGCAAAGCCAGGGCCAACTGCCATGTATGATGGTTGTATCTTATTGCCACATTGCTCCATAAGAGAAGCCAGAGGGAGAGAGATTTGAATTCTTTGAAAACACTCTTTTTTGGCATCACAACAAATTTCTTGAATTATTAAAACAGAAGGACAGCTATGTCAAAGCTGAACGAGTTATGTAAAAATCTGTTCAGTAAAATGTTGACTTTAGTCACATTCCCATTTTGATGGCTTTGCCATTTTACACCTGTTGTTATGCTTGTCACTCTCTGTATACTCAGAAATTGTATCCCAGGCCAGTATGTGAGAAAGTTTTAAAATTCAGGCTGGTTATTGTCAACATCAATGTCCTACACTTGATGCAACTTGGTTGTGAAAACTAGCCTTTAAGCGGCAACAAAATTGTTGACACATTGATCTTTTTCAACCCCCTATTACTTCAATTTTATCTCTTTTGTCCTTGTTAAGTTAACTTATTAGCTCTCTTTCCCCTCTAAAAAAGAATGAACGTTTAGCCAACATTGAATTGGGGAGTGAAGAAAGGTCATAGCTGAAAAGTATTGACCCTTTGAAAGGTGTAATGCAAAATGTTATAGTTGTCATATTTTAATTTACAGCCAGCAAGTGTGTATCAGTAGTAAATACCAAAGGAGAGAATATAAATATTTGTTGGAGTCCAGATGGGAACACAATAGCAGTGGGAAATAAGGTATTACAGTTTGTAATAAAATAATTATATACCAGAGCTGTCGCACCACTCATGATTAATTGTTATTGATGGTGCAACATTCGCCACTCCAGTTTCAGACACCTGTATAAAGGCAGTACAATGGTGTGGTAAGGCCGCTGGAGTCATAATCCAGTGATTGTTGATTCATTTTGTGTTCCCCAAGTTCAAATCTTTGGCTGTCCCCTTTTCCATATCCAGCTGGTTGAAACCTCAACAACTGGGATATTTAACCTCATGTATGTCTTTTTCTAAAAAACTTGTTTCTTTGCTAATGCTTACAGTGATCCTGAACAGCACCTTTGGGGGGAGTTGTAAATTTAGTGTTCATTTTTTGTCGTCCTCGTCTGGAAAAATAATCCCTTTAAGGAAGGAAACTGCTTTTAAAGCTTGTTTTAAGTTTATCAAAATTGTCATAAATGTAATTTTTTAACCTCTCTTGTCCCTAGGAAGACCTTATTACATTTATTGATGCAAGAACATTCAAAGCAAGGTGTGATGAACAATTTAAATTTGAGGTGAGATTTTTGAATATCAAGCCCTAATTTTCAAAATTGAAAAAAAACAAGACAAAAAAAAAAAACAGGTATTCTGATATTCAGTTTTCCTTTGATCTAATTTCTGTGAATATTGATAAATACAGGAAATAGAACACTTAGGTTTCTATTTCATACTCTTCATTGTTGTTCATAATAACTAATGAATATTTTCTTTTGAAATTTTATTTCAGGTTAATGAAATATCATGGAACAACACCAATGATCAATTTTTTCTCACTAATGGTCATGGGTGTATAAATATATTAAGGTAAATGGTGATGATGCTGCTGGTAACAACTCCACAAATCAATTAATGCTGCCCTTGAATTAACATGACCCCCAATCAGAAAATTGGAGCATTTATCTGATTATCTAAAAATCTAAATTTCCAAGTGTTGTACTAATTGGTAATCTACACCATGAGGTGGTAGTTGTGCAAAAAAGAAGTTAATGCATCCATTTAAGGCATCCAGCAGGGGGCAATATGTTTTTTTTAGTGTTATTTTTGTTGGTAAATAGAAGGGTAATGTTTATTATTATTGTTTAAAACAATAATAATGCAGCACAAAATTAAATAATTAACTATGTTACTTAGACGGTTAAAGTATGGCCCCTCATACACATGTTCAAATGAACCCACCTCACTTCTTAGGCCTTCTTTGTTAATCTGTTAAAGAAAAGGTGAAAAAACTTTCTAGATGAGGGATTTTGAGATCATTACTGTAGACGCATATCTAGAGCAATTTTCAATTGGGTGTAGAGAGTGATTCAGAATTGCATTAGTTTTGCTTAACTTTGCTTTGTGATTGGTCTAGAAAAGACCCCCAACCTCTCAATCAATCAGATGCCAAAACTAAAACTAATCATGATGTGGTCACGTACATTTTCCCGGGCGTTAAGTAGTTTGTGTGTTTTTATTGTGATATTTGTCTTTGGTCTGATTGGCCATTTTGACTGCTTTGTTTATGTTTTTATGACATTCAATCCAAAAGCCATCTAAAGCCTGAACTCTATTTTCTTTAGTTATCCTGAGTTAAAACCACTGCAAACATTACACGCTCATCCTGCCAACTGTATATGTATAAAGTTTGATCCTAAAGGAAGGTGAGTGAAGCTTCACCTAGAGAAAAATAGAATCTACAAAGTAGGGCCAGGTAACGTAAAACATTTTGTAACAACACTGTATTGTGAATGAAAGGCAAAACTTAGCTACCGTTAAATTTGGCATCACTTTATTATGGTGCATGATGTGATTAAGGTATGTGTCTTTAAGTAATGCCTCTTATGAAAATCTTTAACTTGTTTTATGGAAGTCGGAATCCTCGTTATGCTTATTAATAATAAGGCCATCTACGTAGACAAACAAAGCGGTATGTTTTATAAAAAACTACGCATGTGCAATGCATTCAACTGAAAAAATAATGTAATAACCTGTGACTTTTGCTCTGAATCTTTCACAGATACTTTGCTACTGGAAGTGCCGATGCTTTAGTAAGTTTGTGGGATCTGGATGAGCTGGTTTGTGTTAGAACATTCTCGAGATTAGAGTGAGTAACAACGCTAGAATTATTATCAATTGAGTGTCTTTTAATTAGTAACTGGGAATTGCGTTGGTTTGCACCATGACGCTCTGTGATTGGTCCAGGAAACTCGAGCTACCCTCTCGACCAATCGGATGCAAAATTAAAACCAATCGCGACTTGGTCTTCTGCATTTTCCCGCGCTTTAGACTGGTTGTTTTTTCTTTAAATACTGATTGGCTTCTTGTCGTTTTTACTGACTAACTTTCGTTATGCGGCTGCTGCGGCCGCTTTATGCACGATAGTGCGTTCATGATTGGCATTTTAAAACCCTATAGAGATATGAGTCATATTTGTTACGAGCATGGATTCCTGAGTTCCCCGTGAACATTCGAATTGAGGCCAGTTCCGATATCCCTTCCAACAAGCAAGGGAGAGCTCACTTGCTACGCTCACGTGATCAGCTATGTTGAAAGAGACGTGTGTGTGGGAGTCAAGAGACTGAGAAAGACGGTAAAATTTTGAGCTCGGCCTCGTCGAAGCGTAGATCTTGTATTCAGGCTTTTTTCTCGATTTCTCATGTATCTATATAATCCTCTATCGTTACTGATTTAAGCTTCCATGATAAGTCCAAATGTGGTATATCAGGTCTTTCACCGAAACCTTGTTCGTAGACTGTATCTTTAACACGGAGGATTAAATTCTATCTTAATTCTTTGTGTTTCAGCTGGCCTGTAAGAACGCTCAGTTTTAGTCACGATGGAGGGATGCTAGCGTCTGGTTCTGAGGATCTCATTATTGACATAGTGGGTGTTGAGGATCAGATTGTTCTTTTGGCTTGATGTTTTGCCTCTTTCCTTCCCACCAGTTTGTCATACTTATCTGAACAATATTTTCACACCGTATTGGAACCGCTAGACAGCCTTACCTTCTAGTGTAACACTGCATATTTTTTTCCAGGCGATGGTTGAGACAGGAGAGAGGATATGTGAAGTACAATGCAATGCTCCAACATTTACAGTAGCCTGGCATCCTCAGAAACCTCTTTTGGCATTTGCCTGTGACGATAAGGTGAATTAGTCCTACAGTTGAAAAGGATCTTTAAGCGCTCTACTACTCTGTTGCGCACCATTTCAGTTGTGGAATCTCCCCCTCTTCTACCCCCCCCCCCCCCTTTCACGTAAGGTTTGAAACTGAATTTTTGGACAAAACTTTCTTTTGAATTGATTGGTGTAATAAAAGAGATAGAAACTTTAGTTTCCTTTTTTGGTAAATTTGGACAATTTGTCTTTGTGTGCTATCTTTATAATCGCCTGAATAAGATTTTAACGTCTTCGTCAATCTCTTTCTCCTAATTTCACAAACTTGGACTGGAAAATGGCATTTCCTTGCCTCAGTGGCCATATTTTGAGAATAATTTAATTTTGATAGTTCTATTGTCATCTTTGTGGGATTTAAGCCTTTAAACATTGCATAGAAAAGTGGATTGACCAATCAGATTACGTGTACCATGCACAGTTGTGTCGTAATCGTTAAACCTATCCTTTCGCACTCATTTTGCCGATGCTTTGGCACAACGTATTAAAACTGTATGATTCAAATTTACATACGTGGTCTGATATCTGTTTTATTTCATAGCAAAATATAATAAAAATTTTTCAATTTTTCTTTCAGGACAAACACGATCGCGATGCAGGCACTGTCCGTCTGTTTGGATTACCCACCAACTCCTCTTAGGGTGCATTTCGACTGAGTGTCGTAAAGTGAAAACCAAATATGTACAACAGCCAATCAGAACATAGGATACTATTCAAAGAGCCAATTAGAAACGAAAGTAAATACAAGCGAATGCCTGAAGCGCGGGAAAACGCTAGTGACGATTGGTTTTAGTTTTGAATCTGATTGGTTGAGAAAGTGGCGCGAATATTTTGGACCAGTTACAGAGCGAAGTGAAGCAAAACCAAAGCAATCCCAGATGTACTTGCGACACTGGATTGAAAATTGCTCCTGGTCAAATAATACATTAGTGAAATGGAACTTACGTGCAAACGCTCTTAACTTGTTTGAAACAATTTCTAAACGGTTAAGAAAAGATGAGAGGATGTATCCTCTCTTGGTTATGTTGTTATGTATATCTGTGCTTTTTTTTATAGCCATTTGATTATTGCGAATCGCCGTGCATTTGTGAAATACACTGTTGAATGATATTATTAAATATCTCATGTCGGAAATTTGAGGAATCTTAATTGATTGTAATCATTTTATACTCGGTGTATTTTCTCTATTAATTATCTTCCCGAGAAAAAAAAGTAAAAGAGAAACGGACGAATGAAATTTCTTACATTAAAGTCTGATTGGCCGTTTTTATGTTAGAGACGTTAAAGTTGTCTAAGACGTTAAAGTCGTCTCGAGACGACTTTAACCTCTTAGACAACTTTAACGTCTCTAGCATAAAAACGGCCATTTGTTAGTAATTTAGTCAGTCAGTCAATTTTGAAATTCTAGTCACTATTTGTGTGACTGCGGTACTGACTGAGGTAAACTCTGAAGGATGGTGGAACGCTCTAAAAACACACATAGAAAACTTAGAATCGCACACGATTGAATTACTCCTCTGGCTATAACAGTACTTCTCTGCACTTCTCTGATTTTGTTCAAGTAGGCCTTTTTTTCTCCAAACGTTCAAAATATTTAGCTTGAAATTTTTTATGGAACAGCAAAGAATGTCAGACGTTTCAAATGGAGCCGGCTTCATATCATAAATAGATGACCTCATGGATGACAAGGGTATCCGTACCATGGAAATTAATTTAAAGCTGGAAGGCTGTCTTATTGTTTTGTGTGTAGCTTTCTCGCGTCAACGCAAGTAGAAACACTGTCTCAGGATCAGAAGGTTGGAAAATGAAGACAGAACTTTAAATCAGTGCCCACTTGATTAGACAGGAAAATATGCAAAGAAAATTGAGCCTGGTGGCAATAAATTGCACAGGTAATGAAATGTCTGAACCTGATGATTTGCAGTCCATTATCTTGTGGGCGTTTCATATCATACGAATGGGCGTGATGTTTAAAGATATTTTAACAACCCTATTGAAATTATATTGTGATGCTCCCCTAATGATTTCCGTCTGCAACCCCATGCTATTATTTTAACACCCTTGTTAAGAAATAATAAACGGGCGCTATCCGTTTCACATGATAGCCTCGCTTTTGTTTACACTACCATCGCAAGGCATCTCTGACATTTGTCTGAAATGACTCGAAGATAGACACTTTCGAGAGCGTCTGTGTTTTCCTGGTTTTCCGGCCGACCGATCGAGATATGAATAATTTTATCATGGAGGAAAACTTTGCGTAGCGCAGACGGAATCTAATCGGAATGAAGCGCTTGCGGCGTCGATTTCTGTCGCAAACCGTTTTGACTTTCTTCTTGTTGATAGTGCTTTGCTCTTTATTAGTTCTTCTCAAAACTGAGCGCGAGATTAACAGCGATCATCAGCTGCGCGCTTCGGAAGTAAATAATTATTTTATCGACCTCCCTTCGCCGGCTTCGCACAGTTCAATAGACTCAGAAGATGCAGCTGTCTTAAAGAATCTACAACTGGTAACTAACTATCAGGATAAAGAAAAAGGTCTGAAGTCTTTAACCTACTTGAAACAATCGAAAGACAACCACAACGCGCAAAGATACAACAACACGACGACAGACAGGAAATCATTTCTCGACTGCAGCGACGTAAAATCCATTCAAGTCGTGGAGAATATTGGTCGAGGTTATACCAAAACTGTTCAAAAGGGAATTCTCAGAGGCGTCGAAGTCGCACTAAAAAGCGTCCACATTGAAAACGAGGATATTAAAAGCTGTGTTTCAAATCCATCAGCGCCTAGATCAATTGAAGAGTGTTTCATTTTCGCCAAATATAAGCTTGCTAAGGAAATTATTATGCTGCAACAGCTGCGGCATGCAAATATTGTTAAGGTAAGTTAGCACAATCAGCATGAATATTTAATTGGTTTAGTGGACAGCTAATCATAACTTTTTATTTCACATGTCAGGAAATAGCCATTATTTTTGGATTCCTCTCTCTATTCTAGCCTTTTTCTACTGCACAATATTATTTATCAGAGAGATACAGATTTTAAATGTCTACAGTTCTTATTTCTGCTATGTCAAATTGAAAACCAAACCTTGTTTTTATTTGGAAATGTTCATTATATACAGTTGTTTTAAGGAAAGGTTGGAATTGTATGAGATGTAAATCTTATAATTTACCTGAAGTACCAAGTCGATTGAAAACTTGATTTGGAAATCACGTGAATACGAGCTGACTCATATTAAAAGCTCAATTGATCTCTTGATTTTTTTTCTCACCTTTATATCCTCTTAAACGGCTTAGGAATGTGCTACATATATAAGATAACAGCTTTAAAATATACCACTTAAAATTCCTCGAGCTATGCTTAGGTAAGGCGAACAGATGATGACCCCTCAGTAGCCTAGAGTCGATGAGGATAAACTTCTCAATGGTTGTTTGAGTGAATAAAGAACATGAAGGTATTAGGTTTGCTAATATTTCCAAGGTGGCTGCAAAAATAGGCAGCTGTCTTGTGTCAAAATCAAAATCGGGTCGTGAAAAGTCAAGAGATTATTTCCTTTCGAAGTGTCACATCGGAGCAGCTGAGATCTATCTGGTGAAAGTTGATTATGATTTAAAGATAAAACCAAACAAGGAGATACAGACGCTTTTGAATTAACACGCAGAGTTTAGCTCCTATTTTAGGCCACAAGGTAAACAGGAGAATTCTAAGCTCAAAAAGGACATAACAGACAAGTTAACATTTCTACAAAAAATAACGAAAAATAACGTCTCTCAGTTCGGTGAAAAGGCAACATCCGACCTGGGTTTTCTGCTCACGGAATAGAACAAAATAAAAGTATGAGAAAAGAGCTTCAAACGCACAGTTAGGGGGGATCTCGTTTCGGTTGATCGGATGACAAATAAAACATCAGGATGTAAGGAACACATCAGGCTCAATTCAATATCCTCTTTAGTAGCCATAAGCACGTAAAAAAAAAAAAACAATAACGCTGACTGAGCAGGAATGTAATCTTCGTCCTAGTATTGAGGTTTGTTCGACAGTATTTTTTTTTTCTTCTAGCTTTTAGGTTTCTGTTGGCAAAATGAGTTAAACACAGCCGATCTCAAAAGTCGTGGCCTCACTATGGTAACAGAGATCGGTACAGAACTGAACGTCCTCACACTGGTGCAGTTACCATGGCAGGAACGATTTAGGGTAGGGAAAGATTTTTTTACTGGTTACAAAAGTTGATACTTCATAGCTATGATGCAATAAATGGAAAAAAGAGCGAAGAAAGAAAATCTGAGCCGTTTCGCGATTTATCTGTCACGATATCTGAGGTAGTATTTTTCGTGCAACATGCAAAATTATCTTCAGCTTGAAGCGGACTACATCCTATTAATTCGATTAAAATCAAAACGGCCAATCAGAACAAAGATACCCATCATCACCAGCCAATCAGAACTTCAAGTAAAAACGGAACAGGCTAATTTCTTGAGGCACGGAAAACTGCAAGTCGCAATCGGCTTTGAACTGCAAATTTTTCCATGTATTTTGCTCCGACGGATCTGAACTGTGATCACTACTGTACATACTGGAAAGATAAATTAGCTCTGCGCGCTATCCCGTACGAACTTCTTACATTGGTTGATCAGTAACGTAGGTTCCCTCTGTGCTATCAAACATTTTGCTGAGTACCAATAACAATGCTGATTATGGCATATCCTTCTTCTTTCATCAGATTTGTCTTGGCCTCGCCAGGTTACTGCACTACTTGGCCCATTCTCCTCTCGGATCGCTCTTCATCCGGGACTTCAAGCTATCGCAGTTTATCTTGGTCAGCGGTGAGGTTAAACTGACGGATTTTGACGATGTCGACAACGAAGAACCCAGATGTTCAGCGGACAGGGATTGTGTCGTCAGAGGGATTGCAAAAAATAAGACTTTAAAGTGTGTCAGTGGAAGATGTCAAGGGGTGGTTGCTGCTACAAATTTAGATAATGCCTGCCGGAATGTTATTAGTCACGTTCTTGTACCGGGAGCTCCGAAAAAATTACGAGGCCATTTGAAGGAAGTCAAACAGAATCTTCAGAGACTAATCTGGAACACTGACACGTTTGTTTGGCACCTGGAAAGAGTTCTCAACCTTCTACACGCTGGGAAACACCGAGGTAAAAATTATTCACGAGGAATAAAACAACGCGGTGGTAATCTCCCTTCAAGCTACCGCGGAGTTTTCTGTTGTGGATATGGCTGTGCTCCCTAATCTGTTGCGTGTAAAACTTGTGAAAATCAGAATCTTGTGGAGAGGGTCTCGTCTTTCTCTAGCGCTCAAACTAATTGAGAAGGAAACCTTAGGGTATACCTTGTGATCTTCGATTTTGAAAAATACCTCTCGAACTTCGTTTACATTTACTTTTCGTATTGATTTACAATCTTTTTGTTTAGAACCGTACACAAGGCCGTTAAATTTGTACAAGAAGATCGTAAAAGCCGACTTTCCCACCTTGCATGACTATCACTGTTCAAACACACGTTTGCCTGGTGCCTGTGAACTAGCAGTATATGACATCGCTGAGGCCAAGTACGAGTGTGACATGGATGAGGAGTGTATGGCTTTCGTTTCGACGGAAATGAAATTGTGGACGGGTAAGTAAGATCCCCCGAAGCAGTTGAGCATCTTTAGATTCAGAGTCAAAAACACAATTCGACAGGCATTGCTGAGGGAATGGTTTTGCTTCACAACGCTATTCATTTAGCTAACCGCGCATGCTACAAGCCTAACCAATCAGATGCAAGCTCTAAGGCCAATCAAACAGCGTAGCCCCGCGTTTTACCGCGGTTCAGACAGTTTGCTTTTTTCCACTTTAAGCCCCTTGAAGTATTTTCTGATTTTTAATTGGGATTTCTTGGTTCTACGACACCCAATCGAAATGTAGGTAATGTAATCGTTAATTTCTAGTATTAATGAAAATTCCTCTTTTTTACGCATTTTGTCTCAAGGTTTCTTCATCGTACACTTAAAAAGTAACACCACACACGTCCGACCAAACGAAGACACTACAGTCTACATTAAACAGCCCACGTGAACGCGATGACCGTGTTGTTGTCTTGGAAGCAAAGTACTCCATTGAGCCACGGACACGGAGTTCATCATGGCTACACCTTCAGAAGCTTGCGTGAATTACACGAAAACACAGACATGGAAAGAATGGCTTGAAAGCATGGTTTATTTCAAACCTCCACAATTGGAGGTAGTAACGTATGCAACAGCTTGACCATAGTGATACACGAAGTTACTGAAACGCATGACTTTCGAAGCAAAACAGATCCAACGAAGACATCGCAAATTTTTGGTTCATAACAAGCACGCAGGCTGAATGTTTGATGTCAATGGAGTAAAAGGAAAATTGGAGACCGCTAACCGTGTCATGAAGCAGAACTCTAGCTTTGATTTGCATCAAGCAAACTACGGCTGTCAACTTTGCCAGCACTAGATCTAACACTGCAAGATCGAATGCTACCTTAAGTGTTTAAGTCAGCTTCTCTTGAATAGAAAGCCTCAGTTTGTCGAGCATATTTTTACGAGACGCAGTTTTCAACTTGTGTAACTCTTCTAAACACCAGCAACCAAATCACGAGCAAATTTTGCAACACTCCAACTACAACCCTTTTCTAGAGGGAAACTGTTTTTTTCTTTAAACACCTTTGCTAGGCCAATCATGTTTCGTTTTACGCTTCCTTCAAGATGGCGCGCATTTTGTTCTGTCTTGATTAACTTTTAGCTCCCAAGAATATTTCGCCCTTTTTCCCGAACAAATCTTCACCGCATAAACCACCGCATATTTGAAAATATTTTACCAATTTTCCTCACTGAAGGTTCCCTGTTGGAGGAGAGAAATGGACGTCAAGTTGATTACTTCAAAATTTTCTCCATTGACTGCAGTGAGCGCAAAAGTCTGAGCTTGCTGAAAAACTGAATTCAAAAATCTTTGTGTTGCTGACTCGACGAGAATGGGGTGAAACAAAAGTACACGAGCAAAACAATTTCTAAGGTGTTTGCTGGGGAATAAACATAACAGACCACTTTCCATTGTGCAGCCTTTAACATGTTCAAAATTAAATAAACACAATATTTTCAAACGTTATAAAATATCATCTGCAGTGGAGTCCCTTCGTGACAAAATGTGAAGGAATTGAGGAATAAGTACCATTATATTCTATTGGTTCTTTTTAAGGGCTGCATTCAGTATATTATCAACACGAAATTAGTAAAGATAAGTTAACCATGTTATCGAATTGGTAAAAGCTTACGTTTACAGAGTTACTGTTGCATGGTAATCCTTTATTTGGACAGTGTCCACCGTTAAGAACGTCAAGTTTTCAATGAGTGTCGAAAGTAAGCCAGGATCACATTGGTTTTGCATTGCCGCGCTCCGTTCGGTCGAGAAAATCTGCGTTATATACCCCTAAGCTAATCAGATGCAAACTGGTCGCCGCGTTTTCCCGCCCCTTTAGCAGTTTGCTAGTCTTTCCTTTGGGCTCTCATTGGCTAATAATATAGTCAAGTTCGTTCTGATTGGCCGTTGCGACCAATAGGTTTTTGGCATTTCGACATTCAATTGAAAACTTCTCTAAACTGCGTGTTGATAGCTGATTTCAATTTCCACTTGCAAGCCGAAGATGTGTTACAACAACTTGCTTAGAAACGAAACGGAATAACTTCATATCAAGAGAATATCAGTTTATATTCTCTGCTGCATCACGAGGGTTGAAATCCCTTTATCTGAATTCTGTTTGAAATGAAGTATTTGCCGAAGTTATTCGCTATTGTGTCACCGTAGAAGTCAGAATTGAGGCCATTTTCAAAGGGATTGCATTGTGCAATGGTTCATCTCCAAGATAAACTAAAGATTTCGCTATAGAAGGTTTGCTATAAAAGCCTTTATCCGTGGTCCACTGCTCAGAATTTGAAAGTTTAAAACTTATGTCATGTGTGTTATCAATGAAGCGCGATTACCCGCGCGTGACGACCTTTCTTTAAGAGATGAAAGGCAAAAAAATTGGGACTTAGAGCTACAACCACTAAATGTCAAGGAAACCTGCACCCTGTGATTTTCCCTAGCCCGTGGAGCACGTACGTGCGGAAAACCCGAGCGAGATATGCTATTCCTTTTCCATTATCTGTGTAGCCCTTTAAGCATGTAACCCATTGCACCTTTCGCGTGGGGACGTTTTTTCGCTATCCTAGCGCCCAGATTCTGTACTACAATTTTCAGCCCGGCCGCCCACTTTACGCGCGACTGGCCAAAAAAAAAAAAAAGGCTTCTGTTACCTTGATAGTATTATACCTAAAGTTCCATTGGCTAGGATTTCCTTATAGGCAATAGGTGTGCTTCTGTATTAAATACAAACTTATCAAGAGGCACCATGTCCACATCACTAAATAATAGGAATAAATACTTTAGAGTCTCCCCAAGGAAGAAACTTTCCATTTTGTCTCTGAATCCCAACTTTGTGTCTTTGACACTGTTCAACGACGAATATCCTCCAGTGCTTATCTTGGCATGTTGCTCGATGGCTTGGAATATGGACCAGCCATAATCCTGGTATTTCTTGTCTTTCGTTAGACGATAGAGAATAAATAATGATTCTACAGTTTCTGGTCGCAGCAAACAATGGGCATCTAATGGCTGGAAAATGTTAAAAAAAAAAAAAACACTCTTAAAGTGATGCTCCGATGACGTTCCAGCACCTAGAACAACTTGATGAACTCAGATGAAAGATATCTTTACTTTTTCACTAACAACCTCACTGTAGAATTGTGTCAAGAACAGTCACGTTGCGTATTAATTTGTCACGAGTTAATAGGTTTTGTTTGTATACGACATTATTGTTTTTAACTTTTTTTTTAATAGTTTTACATTATTATCAAATAACCTGTTTAAATACGTGATTTTCGGAAACGTGTAGTTCAGCTGATTTGCGAGTTACGAGTTGCGAGTTGTAAGTATTTTCGATTCGATTAAGCAATAAATTTATTCGATCAGTACACTATTGTCGAGTTTATGTAATTAACATTTTAACTTTTCACCTCCAAGAGCCATCAAAAACATCAAAAACCCCAATCACATTCTCTAAGAATTAATTCTTTCCCAGAGAAAAAGGATGCCATGTGAACCGGAACGCAGCCATAGTTACATTCTTCTTGTTTACAGTGCACATGTGCGTGACCTTCGGGTAGCGTTATTTGACAAGCAATATTCAAGACGAACATAGCAATGACCTCAATCGTATTGCGTTAGTAATTTCAGTGAGGGTGTAGTTATAGGAAATTTCTACGCTTTTGTCTTCGGAGTTGACGAAACATCGAGATATCGAGCCATAAATAGTGATTTAAACTATGAGCACTGAATAGAAACTAAACCAAGATTTGAGAGTGACTAGTGTTGTATCCGTGTTACCAACTGCAGTACACGGTTGACAAGCTTACCCTAACTTGAATATCTTCATGTTTGGAAGGCCCTTGGTTAAAGTAAACCAGTTCAGCACTCAATCCAGTCGGCATACGTTTATACATCTGAACACATGTCTCCAACAGATCCTTTGCAAATTGTTCGTATTTTTTGTCCAGGCCATTCTGGACAGCTAACATTAATGTTCCTGGCAGAAAACACACCAAATGGTCCTGCAAGCAAAGAAATTAGATTTCTTAAGGAGGACAATGAGAGCTTTTAGCAAGGTATTATACATTGAAGATGTACATTTAGGGACCAGTGGCTTTTTATTGCAGGGGGGGGGGGGGAGGAGGGGTTAGAGGATCTAGGGGGAGTGGAGGGAGGATCAGTTGTTGTCAACAGAGTACAAGGTGGAAGGGAGTTTAAAAAATTGACTGCCAAGTGACTGCTTATGAAGGGGTAGGGGAGGGGAGGGGGGAATTAAGAATGGTCACATAAGAAATGGTCACGGTTAACTCTCAACACGTTATCTTTTCATCTCCACATTTCATGTTAACTGAACATTTAGTAAGATTCATTTACCATGACATAAATTTGCATTTTGTTGCTGTCCAAAATTAAATGGGGAAATATTGATACCCAAAAATTATTTTGGGATATGATATTTGAAAATCAACATTCATTAATGAGATGTGTAGAACATTTGCCTGACGCAACAGATGAACCACAGTGTGGTTGTAAATTAAGCTAGTAGGTATACCACAGATTGGCAAATAAAGTACACCATTTAATGATTGGTGATCAGGAATGCTGCAGAAGTGAGAGTGCTTGCCTCTCTCCAATACCACATGGGTTGAGGTTGTTTTTTGGTTTCCTAATTTTCTTCACTCCACTAAGAAAAAAATCTCTGAATTCCAAATGAAGCATATAACAGTGGACAAGGATCAACCTTATGGAAGCATCAATGTTAAATTATCACTATCATCATCATTACAATTATTATCATCACCATTATAAAAATCATTATTTTTATCATCATCATCATTATTATCATTATCATTATTATTATTATTATTATTATTATTATTATCGTTATTGTTAAAATTCTTACTATTATTTCATACATACCATCTTAGGGCTGAATGTTGAGCCATGCAGAAGTTCACCAATGTACACCAGCTTGCTTGGTTCTGATTCTCTCCTCAAAAGAGACATGACTCCATCCATGGAATCTACAAAGTCATCTCGAAGCCTGGCAAGAAAAAAAAAACATTAAACTACTGAACCCAACCTTCCTTCCTACACAGAAGGTAGTGAGACAACAATACACTTGTGGTGTTGGTTGATTCTTGCTAATCTCTAAACGCACTTTCAGCGGTTTGCTAGAGATCTGTTTATGAAGCATTAAATGATTCAAACAGCTACATGTTCCTTGCAAACTACATAATGATAATTAAATGATGTATCAAGAAAATATGCAAAAAAGGAATATTCACTAAACTTTTTATTAGTTATCTCAGTTAGTACAGGCACTACAATAACTAAAGTTAATTTAGCAGGCTATATTTTACTGTGCAGTCCCTAAATTCAAAAGTTTGTTTGAATTGAAATTTCCCCCATTAGAGACATAAATTCGAGCAAACAAATCTTGGTCTGCAGACTTCAAACTAATGATTACTCCAAGGAATTTGATAAATGCTAAAAATTTGAAAAAAAATTCTGCAGATTTTCTCTCCCTCATTTTTGTTCATATCTCACCCTGCAGTTTTTGCATACCTGCTCCCTTGTTCCCTCTAACTGAGAGCATAGCATAGGCTAGAGGAACTGTAAGGGTGTGATAAAGGTAGCCAAGTCTTTCAAATTTTGACCAAACAAAAACAAAACACCCACAAAAACAAGCAAAAAGACAAACACAAACATGAAAGAAAACAAGATTATTATACCAAGCCCAACAGAGTGTAAGACTGTGTATATGCATTCTCTCACCAATTTTCTGTTTTCCCACTCTGTAGCCACTGCTTCAGAAGATACTCATAGTAACTGTCACCCCGAGCACCCAAGGTAATTGTTGAACCAGGTCGGAACTTGCCTGTATCTGCATTCACAAAGATTGGTACTAAGCCTGCCCGCTTTGGAAGGGCATGAATGTGACTCATTACTGTATCTACTGCACTCTGTAAAAAGGAAAAAATAATTAACCTACATTTGCCACCAAAGAGGGCACACCTTTCCTAATGTATATATATAAAAAAAACAAAACAAAACAAATCTTTACATAATTCAAATTCTAAAAATATAAGGAATCAATTGACAAAGACCTTAAATCAATAAATACAGCGTATACAGTATATAGTTACCCAAAAATACTTTTAAATAAGAGAATAATTTTAGATTCTGATTACCAAAAGTCAGTAGTTTAAAATAAACATTCTTTTCCTGGTTCAGATTTTTTCTGCCTAGTTTTTATGCAAAAAGTTAACTACATTGACAACAAAAGGCTACTAGTAATGTTTTATAGTCAAGAGGAATATTATTTCTTTTCCTATTAGAAATAGAATTCTGGCAAAACTTATATAGCAATATTAAGAATTTCAACCAAAATATTTATTACATTACAATTCTAACATTTCCTCTCATATAAAAATTACATCACCTACATTGCAATAGTACTTGAATAATAATATTGACAGTACAACAGTAAAATACCTTGCAACAAAAAAATGTTATCAATTACAACATGTTGAACATGAATAATACTGTATTTCCCTGCGACACATATTCTAGATACCTTGTATTTTACATCCCCAGTGGTATAACTGAGATCTCGGAACTCCAGCTGTATGGTGGTAACCTCAGACACTGAGCTGTCTGGACCCCAGCGAGGAGGATGAGCTGTACGAGTCAGCAGATTCACATCGGAATATGGAATGTTTGATCGCGAGTGAAAAGCTGGCAGGAGGCGATCCCCCAAATCAATCTGACACAAGAGATAAAATTGTTAGCATTTGCTTAAGCTACATTGATTAAATACAATGATAGTAAGCTATATGCAGCAAATAAATGTTTGTTGAATAGCAAAAAAAAAAAAAAAATGCAAACAGATAGGAGGGTTTACCCTTTCACTCCCAAGATCTAATTAGTAATTCTCCTTACTATCTGCCATACAATTCTTATGATGTTAGTTCAGAGAATTTGGTATTGGATCAACTGATAATCTTGTAATTGATATTCTTCTCTATTCTCATCACCTACCTGCTTGATATTGTATTGATATTGTAAGGAGAAATTCTGTCTTGGTCACTTGTGGGAGTGAAAGGGTTAGTAAATTAATGGTAATGGTGTGAGAGCATTAATGAAAAACTCTGAGTTCCTCATCAGCATCAGAAATGATGTAAATGAAATGACAAGAAATAGAAGTAGCTTAGCACTAGTGAAGATCTAACATTTAGCTGAAACACAAACATGAAACATATGGCTGAACCATTCTATATGTGAATAATAAGTGTGTGCTTCAAAAAGCTGACTAGTGTTTGATGTTTGGAATAAAGGTCAGGCATTGGAAAAATTCATGCTTCAATATAACTTATCTGCTAATCCTTCCAAAGATATTTCTTTTTCATTACTACTTACTGCTTTTCTCAAAAACAGGTCATCTCGTGACAAATGGTATGCACTCAGGAGTCCTCCAAGAACACGGATTGTTGTCTCAAACAAATTCACATCAACATTTTTCTCAAAGGTCAAGCTGTTGGCTACCCATTCACGAGCCTGTTGAAACTCTTCACGCAGGTTCATTAACAACATGGTATCCAGTGAATCAATAATTGTCAGCCCAATACCAAACCATTCACTATGCGATCTGGAAATGGGACGCAATTCATCATGACCCCATGCATATTTTTTATAACCCTCCCAGGCATGTCTAAATGCTTCTACAACCTTCTTTTGACGCTGACTTTGTTTATCTAATGGAAGTATGTTAACTCCATTTATGTTCAGAGCAAAATTCTCATTATTTTCTACAGGATTTGCTTCACCATCGCCAGCAGTGTCTGCTCCAACATCACTGGGCAGCTTATCCTCAGTATGTACACCTGTATCACCATGAATCTCCCCCTGATTTGTATCTTCATTTGAATTTAGGTTTTTGTTATCATCTACATTGTCATCAATTGGTTTATCCCTATTTTTCAACTTTGGAGGCCCTTTCTTTATTACCAGGGCATGTTGCTTCCTGAGTTCTTCCAGTTCTTTCAAATTATTTTCAATAATTTCCTGTTTATTTACTCTGTTAAACTTTGGAGAATGTTCCTCAGAAATCTTGTGACCTTGATGACCTACAGTTTCATCCATATTGTCAGTTTCAAAGTTTTGCCACATTAGTCCTTTACGCCACAACAAAAAAGTGACACAACCAAGAATACACAGCAGGAAAATGAGCGATCTTTGAAAAGAAGACATGGCTCGCCACTTCTGCAGTAAAAAATAACAATAAATAACACATTTAGTTTAACGATGTAAACAAATTTCGATTCAGTTTACGCAAAGATGAAATTCAATAGCCATTAAATTTATTTATCCATAAGTCTTTATAATACAGTAGATTGTGACGAAATTCATGTAACTGTGTCTCTTTGAAAATTTATGCACACGTTTTAACCTTCATTCCTTTCCGCTGCGATGCCCTGCAGCGTTCTACTAATCCAGTTCCGCGTATTTAATAGTTTATGATCTTTGTTTTCACAAGATGGAACGCTCTTACTCCACTCGAAAGTACGAACACCAACAATCGGCTACACAAGTGCCACACATTGTCGGTCTCTTACCCTATACAGTGAGGTATGTCGACGTCCCTTGCTGTTGTCATCATTTTTGTCGTCATTATTCCACGGCATGGAAACTGAGATAAAATCTCTCGATCCCTCTCGCTGAATGGAGCTCATATTTTCAAGGAACGGTGTGAAAAAATACGGGACAAAGAAAAGTTTTCCTGAAGAGGGTTTAATTAGATACTTTTCCGCTTACTCATGATCAAAGATTTCATTAATAACACCGATTGTCCGCCATTTTAACATAATATTTTTGCTCCCAGGCTCCTAGGTCAAAATTATTCGTCAAAGAGACTGGTTCCGTAATTTTGTGGAGGAGCCCAAGAGAACTACAGTTTGATAAGGAAGGAGGACACCAAAAAAAGAGGGAAAGAAATGCTATCAATGCTTTTTTACTATTTTTCCAGATCACTCGCTTCTAGATATCTGAGATTTATATTGGAGAGGTAAACAAGCTTACGAATTCATGAATTCGTGAGGTTGTATGACTCATCAAACAATCGCTTAAAAGACATAAGTTATGACGTGTCACTATAAAAATTATCACCCCCCGACTGAAAATGGCTACAAACGTTATAAGCTCAATCAAATAGAACCAACACAGTCCGGTATAAACAAGCTCCTCGAAATGCGCCGACATATTGAAGTCACAGGCTCTTCAGAAACCCCTGAATTTTCAAATTTGATACTAACTATAGTAAAATGTATGTATGTTTATATGCGCTCTTGGTGAAATCAGGGTCAAGTTGTCACTTTGATATAACAAACAACGCAAATGGTTTCTTTAGAAGGTATCATCAGTCTACTGTGTTAATAAACTTTCTCTTATAGCACTAGTCCTTCCAGCTGAAAAAATATGCGAATGTTATTTCGAAATGTGCAGCGCTGAAGTTTCGAACTTTCGTTTGCATCGGAAAAGGACGGATATCAGAATTATTCTGATTGGACTTTGCTTCAAAGCCTAAATGTCAACGCGCTTCGAAACGTAATTGGGTATGCATTCACGCGAAAAATTTCGTTTGAAAAATCAAGACACCTTATTGAAACAAAGTGTTCTTTATCTTATGTAGCTGTTTGTGTTTTTCTCATTTTGTTAACTGTACAATTTTATGGTCATTATTCCACGATGATGAATTTCTTTCAAGCCACGCTGTTGGGTTTGTTAATAGCGGTGTTGGTAAACTTACAGCCGACTACGAAACTAACGAGCCCGAAGCTGTGTAACATCAACAACAATTATAACAGCTTCTATGCCTGTACCTAAGTGCGAAAAAATGGAGCAAATGTTTGCGCAAATGAAACAAGAATTAGCCGGACTGAAAACAAGAAATCAAAAACATTCAGGGAATCCTAACTGGATTCCTTGTTCATGATGGAGAGAGTTAGCCACTTTTCTAGATTGGTTCAGCGGAGCAATTACTGCGAAGTCTCCGTAGCTAAGTAAATATGGTAAACGTACCAGAGCCGTTTTAATTCGTGTTGAGTTCGAGGAAGAACCAAGCTTTCCAGTTTTTGATTCACTGAATAAAATGGGATTTAAATAATTTCAACTGCTTTATGCGCAACCTGTATGTGAAAAATACACAAAGGGTAATTTAAGTGTTCGAATTTTCTATCTTTATATGAACCCTGGCCAGAGAAGAAAAATTAAAACTCGAATATCTCAACTCGTACGTCGAGTAAATTCTTCCTTGCTTCGAAGACCAGTGAACAAACAGGCGATCTGCTTTTAAGCTTGGATTTAAAGCGACTTTTGAATCAAGGCAGAGGGCTATTAAATTTGACGGAGCGAATGATATAATTTAAAACAGATAAAATCTGTTGTGTTTTGATTCCCACATGTTTAACATTGCGATGATAATATAATTTAATTTTCCCCTCTTCCCTTCTCAGCTGCCACTTATCGTAAAACCTTCAGTTGGGAATGGCCAGGCCAAAGTTAGGAAAGACAGTTTGAAACCTTCATTAAATTTACAGTTTACAAGAATTGTGCTGAACTTTACAAGTCTGGGAAAAAGAACAACGGCTTGTACATAATCAATCCTGTTGATGGTTTTAGAGAGCTTGAAGTCTACTGCGATCAGACAACAGCCGGTGGAGGATGGACAGTTTTCAGAAGAGATTTAATGGCTCTGTGGATTTCTTCCGAACTTGGAGTGACTACAATCTGAACAATCGGAGCTTCGGAAATTTAAGCGAGGATTTTTGGCCCGGACTGGACAAGATCTACCGCCTGACTGTGACTGGTTAAAAAGAGTATATCCTATTATAGTCTAATTTTCGGAAAGGTATTAATTGAAAAAGAAGATATTTAAAATCGCGGTAATCAGTTTCCCTATACACTTTCTAAGAGACTTCAATCACTATACTAGGACAATTTCTTGCTCGTTTTTTGACACAATCAAAGATTTTTTTAGGCTTGGTCAGTTTTGAGGAAGGCTTCTTGTACCACTTCCTGAGATTGTAGAACTTCGACTGAGGCCTCTTCCTGCTTCATCGGGTCAAATGAGAAGGATTAATTGACGAGTGACAAGTTGATTTGTACAAGGAAACTGCAATTTATATTAATTTATCTAGGGTGGATCGCAGGAGGAAGATTGGTCAAAGGCAACCGTTAAAAAACTGATCACTGCAGGAGAACGGTAGAAAGGAAAAAATCCAAATTTCTATGGGGATTGAACCCGTTTTTTTCCACATACAATTTGGAAGAATGTGTTAACTGCGCTAAGAACTGACATTTCAGGAACGGGTGAAATGTTAATGGGTCCTTTGTTTCCCTTAAGAAACAGCCCGAGCCATAGACAGTTTTGTCTATACCATTTCCTTTAATATGATTGGTCTAGACAAAACCAAAACAACCTGATATGACCGAGAGAGGATTGGGACGATACTTTTTCTTGCTGGCTTTCTCGTGACGGCCAGGTTGTAATGAGAAGGAGACGGCAGAACAGAATTCAAAATTTCAGGAGACATAATTGACTTATTTATTTCTCTACTTCTGTGCTACAAATCCAAGTTTCGACAGACATTTCATCTCTTCTCGCGCGCCCTGCTATGTGTTGCACGTACACGAATTTTGCTTGCAGTGTTTTGTTATCAAATTCTATCCATTTCACGGGTGAGATGTCTAAAAGACACCTCGTGGAAGGTAGCGACTGATGAAATAACAGAATGTTCTTAAGAAGGAGATATGATCATCCGTGAGCTGAAACGAAAAACAAAAGGACCTCTAGGAATACTGAGAAAATCGATAGCTGGCAGAATCCATGACGCCCTGACGGCCTATGACAGCAAGTCACAACAACAACGGCCGTGCACTCGAACTTAACCAACGTTCACTCGACTTCTGTTTTCATAAATATTAAGCACTTATATCGAGGTTTACCATAATATTTTTCTTTTTTCAAAAAAAAAATCGCACATACCTCAAATTTATATGATACTGATAGCAAGTGTGTCCTCCACTATCCCAAATAAGACATCGTAGCTCTACTTTAAATTGTGATTTCTCCCGCACATTTCAACTGATGCCATTCAAACTGCTATTGACACGAAGCTCGCTCAGTGCTATATCAAGTGAGCTGGGTCCCAAGGGCCATAATAAAGAGAAACTGGACCGTGACGCCATGTTTCATCACGTCATGGTATAGACTAAACTGTCTATGGCCCGGACTGGGGAACTCAGATCACGAATGGGGTACTTTAAAGCTTGTTTTTCCGCAGTGTCTTAAATTGCACCCTATCGGTGAAAATCAATTCATCACTTGCTACCTCATCCACAGGTCAAAAATATGATTTTATTAAGGGAATATCATCTAGTAGATATTCTCTTGGATTCATTTCATTTCATTTGCACCATTCGTGATCAAAAGAAGAATTCAAGAGAGTTAACAGCGAATTCTGTAGGTCACTTCCTTGCCTGCCTGGCATAAAATTAAGATGGGAGAGGGTCAACAAAAATCACTCCTATATTCTGATGAAGAGTTTCTAGTCCCCAATCGGTCAGAGCCGGGATTTCTGGAGTCTGTTATGTGTTGTGATATAACATAAGAATAAAATAAAAGGGGAAAATAGTCTGCTACGAAATGAACAAAAACCGATTGCGGATTTGGTGTTTGGAGAAGGATGCAGGAAAAAAAGCAATTCATGTAACACAGGCAAATTTTTTCGACTTTTGATTCAATATATATAATTTTATTTCAGGAGAAATTGACAAAAATTCATTTGCTGAATCAAAAGCTTTGGAATTTATCTTTAGCTACTGCATGATAATATTCAGTTACTTGTTCCGGTGATTGTTTGTTCTTTATATCATTTGTTTTTAAATTGCATGTTTCGGATGAAGATCATACTCCTCGGCTTCATCTGCTTCCAAATCCTGGATAGCTTCAATAACCGCTTGTTTAGCGTTTGAGGGGATTTCCTCTCCCTCGTCCATTTCATTTTGCAATTGGCTGGTTGCATCAGCACCTTCGTCCATCTTACCACTACGGCGGCGACGACGACGTCTCCTCCAGGCATCGCTATATGGATAGGGAAAAAGTGTTGGAAGGAAATACATAATAGCAAATCGTTTAACATCTCAGAATGCTACCGGCGCATAATTTTTACGAGCGATCAGTATCTTATTAATTAAAAGATCCTTTCTCTCAGTTCTCTACTTAAGTGAGTATAGCTTAAACGCTATATCTTATAGTTTTTATCTAAAATTGGGAAACGAGAAAAGGACTGTAAATGTTTCAGATCTGATCGATGACAGTCAGTCCCTTTTTCTGTCATTGGGAAGTACAAAGCCAAATCTTGACCATAGGCTGCTTTATAAACTCTCGGTTTCTCAGTTCTTTAGTTTTTTGCGGTAATGTTAGAAATCCATGTCTTCGGAAAAAAATACCCGTCATCAATGTAACAACAAAAATCATGAGAATCACGGCACAGGACTTTTCACCTGTAGCGATTACCTCAGAATGTCTACAGTGCAAAACATGTTTTAGTTTTAGTTTTAGTTTCTACGTTCAAGGTTATTTTTCGATAAAATTTTCAAAGTCCCACACACACCTGTCATCGATGAAAAGAGCTGCGACAACCATCATCAAAAGAACTGCGATCAAAAACTTGTTCATCTTGATATAACTTTACTTCGGCTTGCTGGAGATTACTCTTCGTTCAAAGCTACTTCGATCCAAGATACCTCGAATCATGCGGACGAGATATTTATATCGTGTGAGTC